TCTAGTTTTAGTTCTGATGAAAACCTCAATTTGTAGGTTGTTGATATGTCAATAGACAAATAAAAATACTTAGAATAAAAAATACGTTTTATATAAATATATTATATTTCTTACTAACCTAAGAGTAATTACCAGTTTTGCAGGAGGAATACTACTAATATTTTCCTTTATAGCGTTAAGTAATTCATCAAAGATAGCATCATCCTTTGCATCATAGTCTATGATTCGATAATTTAAAAAGGTCTATGATTCATAGACCTTTTTAAATTACAATTCTTACAAATTCTTCCAAATTACATCACATACTTCTTCTAGTATAATCTTTATTGTAGCAAATCCCATGCGGTAACTAAAGCCCAATGATCGAAAAGAGTTTCCAGTCGCCAAATATCTGTAAATCACGAAATTCCTACGTCAACGCATTGAAACGCCGTAAAAATAAAAAAAAAAGTGGGCAAGCTGTTACATGTGTTACGCCATGGAAATATGAAGAACAAATGAGTTTTTACCAATATGGAATCATATATAGACTCAAGGCCAACAGTTACAAATATTATGTCATGTCCAGAGTCACCAGAGCACCACTCACAAACTATGCAATCTAAAAATTCAGAAACAGAAAGCCGCCGAGCAACACCACAATCTGGTACTTCCTCCCAAAGTTATTCCCATAGGCCTTTGCGAAATAAAACAAACCTTCAAGATCTATATGATTTAATGAAGTCCTCTCATGACTTAAGAATGCAAAAAGAACGGTCAAAATGTCAACTAGTCGGGCAGGGTATGGATGAAACGGACTTATTCTTTTTGACCATAACTAATGTGACCATTTTGTTCCGTTTTTATGTAACCGGTCCCGTTGTCCCGAACAAACTCTAAAACGTCCCGTTTTCATAAATATATAAAAACTTAAAAAAAAGAATGATTATTACAATATTATTATTACAGAAAACTGTATTATTACAGTTTTCTATTACCAATGTCGCTTCTACTACCGTTACGGATAAGTGCTGCCAACTTACCAGTTCAACGTGCGTAAATCTTATTAATCTAGCTATATTTATACCAATATTAGTCATATTTCTCTTTTGTTTGTTTGTGACAGTTATTCCAACAATGCCTAAACCCAAGTGTACATTTAATACAAATTTGCAAGAAAAATACCAACATTATCAGATCAATGCGCGGCATCAAGCACGTCAATGCTTAATTTTTTTAAGAAAATGGATTCGCCATCTTCTAAAGATTTAGAAGTTGCAACTACAGAGGGTGCGTGGACTTATCATACTGTTCAGGAAAATCATAGCTTTCGCTCGACTGATTGTGCGACAAGCTTAATGCAAGTTTGTCCTCGTACTAAATCCGAGGCAAATGTTGTTAATGTATTAACACCTATGGCGATATCTGAGCTAAAAGGGTATCTTCATGAAGGTAAATCTGTAGCCCCTCTAATTGATGCTTCAAATCATGTTTCCATAAAATTATTTCCAGTTTTAGTTCGCTATTTTAGACCGCAAGAAGGCGTACAAGTGAAGCTTTTAGAATTTAAAGATCAACCAGGTGAAACGTCAGACATCATTATCTATTATTTAAATCAAATTTTAACATTAAATGACTTAAAACCTAAAACTGCGGCCTTTTGATAATACAAATTGTAACTTTGGGAGGGGGGTTCAGTTTTTATTCCACACCTTGCACGAAATTTATTAGCAAAGCTTCATGAGTCTGGTGCTGTTGATCAAAATAACGTCAAGAGTGTAGTAATTGAATTTTACAAAACTTGTAATGAATATTTAGATCAATGGTGTCAATTCAATACAGAATTAATGGTTTTTGAATGGGCGAATCTACAAAAAATGCCTGAGTGGAATAAAGTACAACTGACAAATATAAATTCAAAGCGGATTTTTAAAGCCAGAACAAGACACAGCAGTATTTAATAAGTTGTCACTGATTTTGACATATGTGACTGTTAAAAATTTCATTTTTATTGTGTTTGTAATTTTCGTTTATGTTTTTTGGTTTTTCGTTTTCGTTGTCGACCGTCTCGATCCTTAAACTTGTATTGTCACTTCACCTTGTCTTCTTGTAGAAATAAATTCATTCGCGTACCAGTTTTCGTTCTTCATTGAGCTCTGCCAAAAATTTCTATTGTCAAAAGTTCTTCCTTAATTTATGAACATAAGTGCAAGTGCTTTTCCGAAAGAAAAACGTAAGACAATTTAAGTTTCGTTTTCTTTATTTTTCTTCAATTTCTTTATTTTTTTTGAATAATTCGAACATTTGGTCCTTCGACCCGGATCTTCGGTTTTTTCTATCCACGCGCGGAATTTACGCCGGGTTCTTACGCACGTACGAGTAGTTACGCGCTGATTCTATTTTCGATTTTTTTTTGATTTGATTAACTCTAAGTGGTATTCTCTTTTTTCTTTCGTTTATTATTTCGTTCGCGGTACGTTTATTCTTAATAAAAACTTTCATTGACGTTCAAAATGGCTACGAGCAAAGAAAATCTCGATTTAAATCCACTTTTCGAACAACAGAACTGTTTAAATGTTAATAGTTTCTGTTATTTTTGTTAATTATAATTTAATTAGTCGGCCGTTCCGTATTTTTTAAGTTTTGTTATTCAGTTGTTTTTTATATAAGAGTTGACGTTCACGTGCAAGAGACCACGCGTCAATTTTCTGTGCTTAAAGTATTTCCGTGTTATTTCAAATAGATGTTCGTTAAAAGTGTTTCGACTTTTATTTTCTGTTTGAACAACCACTAAAAGATTCTACAAGAACTGTAAGACGTTTATATTTCATTTTCTTTATTTGACAGTTTTTCACCCGAACTTTAATTGACATTTATAAGTGTTTCAAATTTTCCCGTTTGCGTTTCTAATATTTTCTTAACATTTTTTTTGTGTATTTTCTTAACATTTTTGGTCCTTCGAGCCGGATTTATAACCGGAAGTGCGGAGAGAAAGAACGTTTTGTGTGTTTTTCGATTTTTCGTTTTCGTGTTTATTTGTGTTACGTTACCATGGCAACCGCTAGTGAAATTGACTTAAACCCGATTTTTGAACGGCAAAATGACATTCACGGGTTAATTTCTCGCACAATAGACAATATTAAAAAACTCGCGATCGCGAAACGTACTCGCGGAAACATTCAAAGTCGTCTTGAGCGACTTGAAGCGAATTGGAGTGAATTCAACGAGTCGCATAAATACTTGTCAAAATATCGGCATTTATTCACAGAAACAATATATTTCACAGATGATTTNAAGGTTGGTTCTTATAAAGGACGAACGTTTCCCTCCGTCCAAGTGGGCACTTGGTCGAATTACGTATCTCCACCCCGGACCGGACGGATTTGCGCGAGTGGCAACGGTGAAGACACCAACAACGATTTTAACGCGACCCGTCACTAAACTTTGTGTCTTACCGAGTGCCGATAATTGAGTGTTAATTTCGTTTTCATTAATTGTTTCGGATTTTCTTAACGTTGTCCGTCGTTCTTTTATTTTGTTGTGTTTGATTATGTTTCAATATTAGATTATGCTTTCTTTTCACATGTTTTATTGTTATTTCGGTTGCCGTCCGTTCGGCAAGGCGGGCGGTAATGTTTAAAAGTTAATAGTTTCTGTTATTTTTGTTAATTATAATTTAATTAGTCGGCCGTTCCGTATTTTTTAAGTTTTGTTATTCAGTTGTTTTTTTTATAAGAGTTNAACGATCTTTATAGTATAATTTCTCGTGTTGTGGACAATACTAAAAAAGTTGGTAAAGCTAACTGGACAAGTAGTAACCTTAAAAGTCGTCTAGAGCGACTAGAAGTGAGTTGGAACGAATTTTATGCCATTCATAAAAAGTTAATTTCGTTTAAAGGCGTGTACTCTGATACGGTTTATTTTTCGGATGATTTATTTGCTGCTTGCGAAGAAACGTACATTACCGCAAAAAATTTTCTTCTTGAATCGTTGCACCCGTTAAAGGGATCAACTTCATCAGGTTCCGTGCGCTGCGTTCAATCAGCAGTAGCGCTGCTCATTCTCAGCCCTTTACCGGATCGACCGGTTACACCGAATCCAGACGCACGGGGTGCATTGCCATCATATTCGCGTTCGAGACAATTACCTACTCTTAAACTTCCGACCTTTGATGGCATTTATGGCAACTGGCCTGAATTTCGCGATTTATTCTACTCTATGGTCACCTCTAACGAGGAAATTTCAAATGTTGAAAAGTTTCAATATTTAAAGTTAAGTGTCATTAACGAGCCTGCTCAACTTATTAAAAATTTGTTGGTTACCAATGATAATTTTCACCGCGCGTGGTCGTTACTCGTTGAACGGTACGAAAATCGACGCGTTATGAGAGATACTCAATTAACATTATTACTATCCGCTCGATCTATCAGAACCGAATCAGCTACCGAACTAAAGCGGCTCATAAGCGAGGTAAAAGAAGCTTTGGGAGCTTTGGAGACGCTGGGATGTCCAATTCAACAATGTAATTATATCTTAGTTTATTTACTAGTTCGAAAGCTCGATGGAGAAACAGCCAAAGATTGGGAAAAATCTATCAGTAGTTATCGAGATCCGTCGACGTTCGAAGAGTTTGAGGAATTTATTATTCGTCGAATATACACTCTCGAAGCAATAGAAAAACTTCCTATCACTAACCACCAAAAGAAAGCTTCACAAACGATTCATAAACCCATCAATTTTAAGTCCCACAACGCCATGACTTCAAGTTCCGGTTGCTATCTGTGCGGTGCTGCTCTGACAATTTAGACATTCCCAATTATTATTTGCCACACCATGGAGTAATACGAGAGACAAGTTCAACAACTCGTCTGCGCGTTGTTTTTAACGGGTCCCAACCAACTTCTTCCGGAATATCACTTAATGATTGCCTTCACATTGGTCCAAAACTACAGACTGAGTTGGTGGATGTTTTAATTCGGTGGAGGCGCCATCCTGTAGTTTTTGCGTCCGATATCGAAAAGATGTATAGGCAGATTAAAATCCACGATGAGGACTTGTCGTTCCAACGCATCGTCTGGCGCGAGAATGAGAAACAAAAGCTTCAAACTTATGAACTCTCGACGTTAACATATGGGCTTTCTTGCGCCCCTTTTTTGGCAATTCGTTGCATTCATGAACTCGCGAATGAAAATTCATCTCGTCAACCACTTGGCGCGGCGACACTTTTGCGCGATACGTATGTCGATGATATTCTCTCTGGAGCACACAATGTCGATGAGGTCCAAGAACTCATATTTCAATTAAATCGAGTGCTTATGGCGGGTGGTTTTAACGCCCGTAAGTGGACTTCAAATTATTCGGAAGCCCTTACATATATTTCTTCTGAACTTATCGAAAAAATGAACACTGTAGATATCGATGACAATCATTCTCCTCGAGCCTTAGGACTTATTTGGAACAATGTAAATGATCATTTTCTGTTAAGTTTAGATAATATTCACGAATCTTCGATCAAAATTACTAAACGTTCGGTACTTTCATTCATTGCAAGGTTATTTGATCCTCTCGGTTGGTTATCTCCGCTGATCATTACTGCTAAAATTATTATGCAGGACTTGTGGACGCGAAAACTCGATTGGGACGAATCGTTGCCTCATGACTTGGAAAGAAAGTGGTTATCATTTATTAACGAATTTCGCGGCGTTCCCACCATTCGGGTACCAAGGTGGCTCGGAATAAATAAAACGGCTACTTCTATTGAATTACACGGTTTCTCAGACGTGTCAAATTCCCCGTACGGGGCCGTTATATATTTACGCGTCAGTAAACTTGGGGAAGTTAAAGTTTCGATAATGAATTCTAAAAGAAAAGTGGCCCCATTAAAAAGTGTAACCATTCCGCGGTTAGAGTTGTGCGCGGCGGTTCTTCTCGTGCGGTTGATGAAGCGCATTATAAGTGTTTTGGATATTCAAAACATTCCAGTTCAGCTTTGGAGCGACTCCACTGTGGCGCTTTCATGGATTTACAGTCACCCCAGCAAATGGAAAGATTATGTTCGCAACAGAACCATCGAAATTCAAAAATTATCCCAAGCTCAGTGGTCGTACGTTTCGAGTCAGGACAACCCGGCGGTTTTAGCTTCACGAGGGGTTCACATTCATCAGCTTCAGAACGAAACTCTCTGGTGGTCAGGACCATCTTGGCTTTCTTTACCGTCTTCCAAGTGGCCTTCTCATCAACCTTCCACAACCTCCGAAGCTGACCGAGAGCGACGATCCAATCAAACCATTCACACTGCTTCTCTGACCAACGGCTGGTACGGATGATATCTACAAGCCTAATTGGTTCGCTTATCAAACAATGGCAAATTTTCTTCAATCGGTTTATTTTCCAAGAAACACAATAAATACACAGGTAAGTTATCTATTTATTCTAATCTAATATCTAAAAACATACATAATTATAATTAACTTAAATATAATTATCTTGCCACGGTAATTTTCCAATTGTTGCAAAATATTCGGCATATATATCTCTGATGTCTTTTGGGTGAAGTCCTGATCTTCTTGGGATATTTCGTAGTGGCAACAAAGAAGACATGTTATCATTATTATGTCGCCACGTTCCAGGCACTATCTGTCCATAGTGTTCACTATCAAACGTACCTGGAGGCGTGTATCTTAACGATGAAGATTAACTTTTTCTTAAGAAATTATGTAGTAAGGAACAAGTCATAACAACGTTAGACTCTTTATCAGGTTGGAGCATTATTGGTTTTCGAAGTATTTAGAAAAACGCCTCCGTCGCTTATTCGCCCTTGGCAGCCAATATCGACATAAGAAAAGCAATAGTTAGCATCCACTAGAGCCATCAACACGATACTGAATGTGCCTTTATAGTTAATGAATTCGGATCCACTATTAGTTGGTGACAATAATAAAACATGCTTGCCATCCAATGATCCGATACAATTTGGAAAATTCCATTTGTTATAGTACTCGTTTGATACCTTGTTCCATTCTGTCGTGGTCTGTGGCACCTAAAAAACAAAATTTCTATTTTGAGTTTTATCACCTTGAAGAAAAGAAATGTTGGCACAGCGACAAAGAAATATTATTAAAAAGCACTGTTTTTTTAAGGTTGATGATGAAGCTTTAAATAACAACGGAGAAGAAGATCTATCGCCACCATGTCAGTCTATGGAACCTAGAGCAAAGAGAAAAAAAACGACCATGTCAGTGGAAGCAATAGAAGGTCATTTGATGGAAGCTGTAAATATTATAGTACTCTGTATGGTGAGCTCCTTGCTACAAAATTGAGAGCGTTAGATGAACACAATAGCGCAATTTTGATGAACCAAATAGATAATTTGGTTTTCCAAACGACTATGAACATCAATCGAAGTTTTAGTTATCAAACTCCGTCTCGTTGTTCTTCTACCATGTCTTCACAGTCAAGCAGCTCAAATATCCGACCGCAGGAATATCAGTTCAGTGGGCAAGCACGTCCTATTTCGCAATACCAACAACCGACTGCTGAATCCGTATCTTCTCAATCATTAGTTGACACCTCTCACTCTCAAAATTACACTCCTCAACGATCCCCTATACCGCAGTGTAGTACATTCGAGGAAACGAACTCATATTAAGAGGTATTCCAGGAAAAGCTACTAACCGGGAGAGATGGCTTTAAAGGTAGAAGGTTAAAATTGAAGGTTTTCGCTTTAATTTCCTATTAGGAAAAAACAGCTCTTAGCCATCTCTCCAGATAAGGCATCTTTTCCGGATTACTCAATATTATAATTTTAAGTTAATAAAGCTAGTTTTTTTATAACATATAGAGTAATTATTAAAGTACCTTTATTTCCTCTTTAAATACTATGATAATAGATTGGCAGACTTCAATAACAATTTCAGAGATTATTTGGTTAGATATTTCGAATAAATAGGAAAGGCTTACAAAGCTGTCACCAGAAGCTAAAAATCTCAAAGTCACGGCCAGTCATTCGGTTGCAGGTATAGCTTTTCTCATTACAGTGTCGTTCTTTGTAATATATGGAGCTATCTTGGTGAGAATATATTCAAAATCAACCGCCGACATTCGTAGAAAATTTTCGAATTTTCCAGACGGTTCTTTTGTTAAGTCTTGCAACATACATGCAGCATTATAACTGAAAAAATATGTTCAACAAAATAATTCACATAAGATAATTTGTCTTTAAAGATAAGTAAATTTATACTAGTTATTTACTTATTAACATACCTGGAGCGACTTTTATTCAAAGACAACATCCACCATCTTCTTTTCATACGTTTACTCTTTTTTTTTAATAAGAATAATAAAGTACTACTTATTACACAAGTAGCAGCAGCAACAATCAGCTCTTTTTCGCTGTCCATTTTGAACTGAACAGCACTAGAGGGCCACGTTTCTCTATAGCGGAACATTTGCCGAACGTTTTACGAGGCGAATATTTGCCAAACCATCAAATGGTATGGGAGGTAACGCGAATGCTAAATATTTGCGTATTCGCCGAATACACGCATCGTCTGGGACTGCCTTTAGATGTAAAGAATATTATCGGGTATTGTGCTGATAATGCAAGTGTAATGATGTGTCAGGAATCATTTAAGACGTATATTTTAAAACAAAATCCTTTTATTTTAACTGATGGATACATTTGTCGCTCTGCACATTTGGTAGCTGCATCCGCGGCAGATACAATACCGAGTAACGTTGAAATGTTGCTACATAATCTACATTCATATTTTCCAAGAAGTCCTAAAAGACAATCTATTTTGGAGGAGTTCCAACAATATTTCAAAAAATCTAATTGTAAATCAAAAATATTGGATTCAAGTAATTAGTATTATTAAAATGTGTTCTTTTAGTTTCTTCAGTGGGATATTTTGCTGAATTTATTCACTTTAGCTTCAGTGAAAGAAAAAAATCCAATGGCCATTACAATCTTTAATGAACTAAAAAATCCTTATGTAAAAACGTACTTATTATTTTTGAAATACATTCTATCAGTATTTAACCGATTTAATGCAATATTTCAATCTGAAAAAGTGTTAATCCAAATTATTGCTTTAGCAAGTTTAAGATTTATAAAACAATTTTGAACAAATTTTGTCCGTCATGAACATTACAACGATGATAAACTTCTTTTACCCATAGATGAAATTTCAGTTGAACCGGCAAAATGGAAGTCTTAAAAATTGTGACAGCTCGCAAAATGAGCAATACAAGCTACAATGTCTTTCATTTTACCAAAAAACCGTTGATGAGGCGTGTTTATGCAACCTAAATATCACTCGCGAAGGGGTAAAACGTTTTGTCAAGTACGCACGACATCGTGCTAACTTTTCACAGAGAAAATTCAACTGTCGACCGATCATCACGTTTGCCACCAACCGAAAATTAAATTCATTTTGTGTCGTAACGAAGAGGGTTAGATTAGGATTTGTTAATTAGGATTAGGTAATTATACACCTTTTTTAATTTTCAAACTTGTTTTTATTTCAAAGAAAATTATTTGAAACCAGCACCTTTTTTTTTTTGAACCCGGTTTTTATCGGCTGTATTCAAGGCGTTAAAACGATTTCCTATAAATCACACGTTTTACTCCCATTTGGAATTTTTATTGCCCATGTGTTATACTTAAACTTTTCAATTAATGGAGGTTATAAATCATGTATTACAACATTTAGTTATGTGGTTAACCAGAATCTAGCTTTGACAGAGTTAAAAAGCATTTCAGCATATCTAACAGAAAAAGAAAAAGATAATTTAATTACTCAAAATTCACAAAAGCTAATCGAATTTTGGACGGAAATAAAAGATCTAAACAATTTTAATGATGAATTTTTATTCAAAAATATTGCTACGATTGCTATTATAACTTTATCTCTACCTCGTGGAAATGCATATGTAGTCTTTTAAAGACAAACATTCAGTAATTTGTAAATACATACTGCAGTAAGGAGTACTTCGCAAACGTCAATAAAATGACGATACGCATACTTAACCAATGTGTTAGTGCCCAGTGGAAATTAAAAGGCGCATTTAACCAAAACGTTCTACAATTTGGCAACGAATTACATCGATGGAAGGGTCCACTACCGTGTTACAAGTATAACTTGTAGTTTAGTATAGAGTTATAATTTTTGGTTTTCTTTTAATTTTTGCTAGAATTCGTCACATCATCTGTTGTTCGTTGTTGAGTATTCTTTTTGATAAAGATCTCTATCCTATCTTTACCACCACTAATGGTTCGGTTCGTACGCGTGCACCGATGCATTTATTTTAGGGGTAATTTCAATTTCCGCTCTCTTCTGTCGTTGTACGTGTTGATGCGTAGACGTGTTTGATCTAACCCTATTGACGCCTTAGTTTGACCACATTGTGAGTTGAGCGAAAATTTTGTGTACCTTCAGCTCGTGGTTCGTTTATTTACGGATATATTAAGGCCGATTACTTATTCGATCGTAGATCGAACCGATATTTTCGGATTTAAGGGTTAACTTCATGCTTCGTCCATTACAACTTTTGGTAAGGTTTTTTCTTTCATAAAATACACAAGTCTAATGTTCGTATACTTTATTCTCTAGACTTCTTGTGACAGAAGAAAGTGTTGCCGTGAGATTTCGTAAGGACTTCTTTTTTTCTCTTTGGAGAGTATTTCTTAATTAGTCCCTTCGTTGGATTTTCTGAGAAATTCAACAAAGTTACGCCCACCATTCAAGATTCAGATCAAAATTTTTTACTTTCGCTTTTTCCACATTTTAATTCCATAAAGGAAGAAGGAAGAGTTTGTATAAACTCGATGCGAAAACTGAAATGATAAATTTGCTTCGCAAATATAGCAGTATGGCACAAACATCTGCAACTGATGATGCAGTTGACCCAAATCAGTCAAATCCAGTCTTGCCAAACCAGCATTCCCAGGTTCCACATGAGAACAACAAAACCAAGATAATTGCGATTAAAGCACGTATAAAGAAAACCTCTGTACCGGTAGCGCAACAAACATCCTCATCCAAATTAATGGATTACTTGCTATAACAAAAAAAAGAAACTCAATCCAGCAAGAAAAACATAAATGCGGTCGATGGATTTTTGATGGGGTTAAAGTTGCCCTTATAACTTAAAAACACTCCCCCATATTTATTAAATTTAGCGAAGACTGATATACTTGCAACAACACAAAAATACGAATTGCAAATGCTGCAATATTCAAATCCATCATCATCAACTTCTACCCCAATGGCTTCACCTATCATGGATAGTAATGCAGCCGATTATCAACAATCCCAGCTTACATTGCATAACTATACTATAGTTATTATCCACAGTAATGTTTTAGCAATCATACAATAAATAATATAAATAAATAAATAATACAATAAATACATTTTGTAGTAAAATATTATTGTATTTAACCTTACACAAACTACGTTTAATACCATAGTTCAGTGGTATTCAAACTATGGGTATTCAAAATGGGGTCGCGAAAAGTTTTTTCGGGGTCGCAAGGTGGATGAAATAATTCCAAATAAATTTAGTAGAATACATACACATACATCATTTCCAACTTATTTGGGAAAAAATAATTAGTTTCTAAAACGTATAATTTCATTTTAAATTTTTGATAAATTACTGTAATTTTAAAATCAACAAATTTTGAACGAACTATATACGGTGTGGGAAAAGTCAGTTAACTGCTATTAATAATTTATAGATAATTAATTAATAATCAGTAATTTATTGTAAATTTAGTCAAATTTAATCCTTTTTATTCATTTAATTTAATAAGTACAAACATTTTAATGCAATTTCATATTTTTTTATTAATATCGGTTAACTGATTTCTCGCACCCTGTATATGGAACGACGTCGCGTACAGCCGACCCAAAGTAGATTGGCCTGTGAAGGTCACTACTGCGCCGAAGTTGGAGTGCGACGGTTAATCGTTAAAGAGAGAGACGGTTCAACCGTTTGCCACTGCGCATCTGACCTTCACAGGCCAATCTACTTTGGGCCGGCAGTAATTCGTTTTCGGGGAATCACATGACTTGGCAAACAAGTTCAGCGTGGTGCATTTGCGAGTGTAGTTGTTATTTAGCAATAAAATTTCGTGTTTAACTTACAATTGAGGAGTTTGCTGCAACAAGGAGGTATCTGACTTTTGTGGGCAAAATGAGTTACGTACCTTATCTTGTGGAAGTGGAAGCTCTCCATCGGTTGGTGCAACATAGATGTTTCACTTGGGCTTATTTTTAAGTGGAGGAAGTAGTTTACAGATACCCCCTACTTTTATTTGGGGCAACAAGGGTATACGGGCAGCAGATACATCGATGTTGCACCAAACGCCCCAGTGACGTGTATTAATCAAAGAGGCAGTTACACCTAACCTACAAATATTTGGGAACACGTATGAAGTGTTTTGATAAACAATGAGCGATTTAAGTGATTTACAATGTGAAAGTGAACCATTTAGTGGAGGATCTAGCGTTAATTACGAGCCCTCTGTAAGTGAGAGTGAAAACAGCGATAGAAATGAGGATCCTGTTGTAAAAAAACGAAGAAATGAGTATAACTGGAGCAGAAATCTTCGAAAACGATTACTGGCGGAGGGAAAAGAACACATGAGTCCAAGGAATAAACTGAACCCTAAAAGAACCACGGGAAATGACTGTCATTGTAAATATAAGTGTTTTGAAAAAGTTTCGGAGGAGCAGCGTGCCACAATACTTCAAAACTTTAATGAGTTGGGAGACAAGTACAAACAAAATATTTATTTTACTGGGTTAATTATACGAAAACCGATAAATCTGAAAAAAAGTGAGGGTAAACGCAAAAAAAGTGCTAGTGAATTCACGGTAAGAATTTTTATTTTTTTTCAACTATATTGTGTGTTCAACAATGAAACAGTATATAGAACCTAAATGAGGAATAGGATTATTTCTAGATCTGAGTGTTTTATTTCAGGTTCGATTGGGTTCTTTCCGACACAGAGTGTGCAAGAAGGGGTTTTGCGCCATACATGGTATTTGAACTAAGAGAGTCGAGCGCCTTTCTTCACACATTGTCGTTAATACTGCAACCACAGCACCCCTTGATATGCGTGGTAAACACCACAACAGGCCAAACAGCATCTCCCCGGAAATCACACAGCAAGTACATAATCACATTAAAAGTTTTCCGCGTTGTACGTCCCATTACAGTAGATCTAAGAATATAAAGAAACATTACATATCCCCTGAGCTCAACATCAAAAAGATGTATGAACTTTACTTAGAAAGATATGAACAAGATGTATACAAATACTGGTTCACCAATGATAAAAATGCCCACAAACCAAAAGTCTCATATGATTTTTACTTCCGTTATTTCAAGAGTAACTTTAATATGACTTTTGGACATCCCAGGTCAGACACTTGCCAAGTATGTGACCGAATTGAGAACCAGCTAAAGGGAAAAGATAATCTCTCTCAGGAAGAAATTAAAGCACTAGAAACTTAAAGAAACTTAAAGCACTTTTTGGATAGTATGTTGCCATAGAGCTTCTAGAATTACCTAGTAGGGAGGCAATAATACTACAACAACAAATACAGAATTTGATTACTAATACAAAACTTTCTAATCTGCCGTCTTCATCATGTATGCCATCATGTTCACCCTCTACATATGCTCAATCTGTAGCTTGCTCCACTCCACAACCATCACCCGATCCTGATAGTGTTATTACTGAAAATTATACATCTACTACAAATACCAAGAAAAGTACTGACTACGCCAATGTCCTTCCAAATACTGTTTGGAACAAAAAGAGTTCTGATGTGTTAGAGGAAGCCATGCAGAATAGTTTCCTTGATAGTACAGACAATGCAATTTATATGTCATTGTAATTGTTTTAAAAAAGAAGAGAAAAATAAACTTATTTACTGTTCATGACTAGTTTTATTTATCTCCTATTTCTTTAGGTAATAACTTTATTAGATTAACTAACCTTTAGGTAGGGTTTGANTAGTAAATAAAGTACCACCTCATCAAAGAAGATCAGAAGGAGAAAATGTTCGAAAAACAGCAACTCTTAAATATTCCCTCAAAATAGACGATGGCATTTATCCTGTATGCAAAAAAATGTTCCTTTCCACACTGAAGTTAAGAGAATGGCAAGTTTGTAATTGGGTCAAGCAAAGTAAACATGGAATCAATGACGAAAAGAATGAAAGACCAAGAGTTAGAGGCATTTTATCAGAACAAGCACCAAAAAATAATTTCATGAAGTTACTAGAAAACTAGTGAATCACAAGTTTTTCAGGAACTTCAAAAAAAATCTCGTTTATTCTTCAATAAGACCCGGAAGGAAACCAGGAGACCCAACCGTTACAAATCTACGAGCTTTGAAATACTAGCAAAAAATTTTTTTTAAACTAAATTTTGATAGTGAGTATGAAGAGCTACCACAAAGAACAAGAAAAACTATTTCTTCCACTAACAATGAATATGAACAACTTCATAATCAAAGAATAAAAATAAAAAAAAACAAATATGAGCACCTTCAACAGTTGAAGTCGGTTATACATATGTATATAAAAAAATGTTTTTTGTGATTTCCCAAAAGTTATCATTTTGGACTTACGTGTTATTGATTTGAGACCATCGATATATTTATTAATTTCCTAATTCTTAGGTATGGATACGTGGTTGGCAAGCGGAACAAGAAAAGAGTTACAACCTAATGTAGAAAGCTTTCAATTGGCAAGTTCTTCCCAAAATCGGGAGCAAAAAATTAAAGGTGACCAGTCTTCACTAGAATTAAAAGAGAAAAGGAGAAAGTACTGCGAAGAATACATTAAATATGGATTTTCATATGTAGGAGATAATAACTGCCCTAAACCACAATGTATAATATGTGGAGACATATTATCAAATGGCTGCATGAAACCTTCCTTACTCTTAAGACATTTACAAACTAAACATGCTAATTATAAAAATAAGGACCATAGCTTTTTTAAACGCTTGGAGAAAAGTAAGAATAAATACAATTTAACGTCATACAAACTATCATCAAATAAAGATCTCGAAAACGCCATTGAAACTAGTTATCTCGTCAGTTACCGTATTGCCAAATGTGGCAAAAATCACACAATTGCCGAGAATCTGATTCTTCCTGTATAAAAGATGTTGTTCGTTGTATGCTCGGTTGTGTTTGTATTGAAATGGATTTTGAACGTGAAAGTAGCAGTGACGAAGAGTTGATTGAAGATCTGGAAGAAATCAACGAATTATTTCCTATTCGTGGTGGCCGAGTCATGAAAGAAAGAATCGATCATGTTCAACATTTATCTGACGTCGAATTCGTAAAGAGGTTCCGCCTCTCCAAAGAATGTTTTCATCGGTTGTTGTCAGAGGTTGAAGAAAACATTAAACCACGAACGGAAAGGTATTGTATATTGTATAATTTGGTATCATTTGTAAAATTAAAGATATTATTTTCTAGAAATTCAGCAATATTTGCCTCAAACCGGTTATTATTAACATTAAGATTTTTTGCTACGGGTAATATGTTGCTGGCTGTGGCTGATTTTTGTGGGGTCAGTGAAGCTGCAGCATCCCAAATAGTGAAGTTGGTGGCAATAGCCATTGCCAATTTAAGACCCCAATACTGCAAAATGCCGGAGGGTGACGACATTGGAAAAGCGCAAAGAAACTTTTATAACATTGCTCGATTTCCTTTGGTTATTGGCACCATCGATTGTACGCATGTACGAATTCAATCGCCAGGTATTGTTAGAAATATGATATACCAATGTATATCAAACATTTCTTATGTTATATTTTAGGTGGAGACCAAGCAGAAAATTTTAGGAATAGAAAAGGCTATTTTTCCTTTAATGTACAGACGGTATCGGACGCAAATCTGAAAATTTTAGATATAGTGGCTAGATGGCCTGGATCCACGCACGATCAAACTATTTTTAATAATAGCAGTATACGCAACAGGTTTGAACAGGGCCATTTTGGAAACGGTATATTGCTTGGGGACAGTGGGTATCGCAATACGTAAGTTCACACTGTAAGAGAATTATAATAAACATAGTAAATGAACTGTTCCATTTTAGAAATTATTTGTTAACTCCCCTTGTCGCACCAAGGACAGAGGCAGAGCGTCTCTATAATGAAGCTCAAATAAGGACCCGAAATGTCGTAGAACGGCAGTATGGGGTTTGGAAGAGACGATTCCAAGTTTTAAGATTGGAAATGAGGGTGGCGACGGAAAGGTAACAATTAGAACCAATTAGTTAAAAAAATTAAAAGAAGAACCGTTACCATCCGAGGATGAGGATGACGATAATAACCAAGACATAGAAGTGGAGAGAAATGGTGATGACATTTCTGGTGATAAAAGGGCAGAAATGATACAATATTTTGAGACATTGCGATAAGATATATATTTACAATATAAATAATAAACAATGTATATACATTAAAGAACAAAACAATGATAAAACAATAATAAAAACTAATTTTTTTCTAATAATGCCAATTTTTTCTTTTTAATTTGTAACTTATATTTTAATACATCCATTTCTAATTGGTGCCGTTCTCTCTCGTTATCAATTTTTAAGTTGTACAGTTCTTTTTTTTCAATACATTCATTGTAACTGTTATGTATTAGTTTATTTTCACCTATAAACTATTTTTATTAACTCTCCTAATCTTACTGTATTTATTTCAACACTACCTTTTCGTTTGCCACTCTCTAAAACAATACTTTTTCTTTTCCTTAATTGTTTGGGAGCCCAAACGCTCCAATCGTTTTCTTTTTCATTTTTATTTATTTCCTCCTCTGCAGTGGGTGCGTTTATTTGTGATTCTGAATCAATAAATAATTCTTTGCCGGCCTATTCAGAACTAGCACCTGCTGATGCAGATGTTTGTTCTGTAAGAGACATATTATCACCTACATCAGCAGGTGCTAACGATATCTCCGACAAAAAATTGTGAACTGAGTCAGAATCACAAATTGACCTCATTCCGTCTACACACAATATAATCAAAGCTAGAGAGAACATAATCATATTAATGAACAAATTCCACATGAACAGATAACAGAGGCTATTCTATATTTATAGTTTAAACCTTAACAGGTTGACTGCCATGTGCACCAAATAGATGTACGGCTTCATATCCAAGCATTGATTTAAAAAATCCTACGTACTGGGCCGGTGGACCACAAAAAAAAATTATTATTAATTGTTTTCTTAAGCAAGTTTTGTCAATAATATACTTTGTTAGAAGTTTCATTGCGTTTTTTATGAATGTATGTAAAATCCGCTCTGTGCACTAATATGGTGCACACGGCCTCAGAGACCAAACTTGTTCAATTTGACTTCGCTTTTCAATTCTGCGTATATAAAATGCGCCACTTACGTTCGGTTTTGATAACTTTAGCGCAACTTCAGGTTTATTAGTTAGTTTACATTTCTTCAAGATGTATGACCATGAAATTCAACGCTTGCTTCGTTTATTCAACGAGGTTCCCACACCTTCTACTTTAAGTGCTAGCGAAGTTGATGAAAGTGATGCAGACCCTAATTTTAATTATAATAAACAAAGTGAGGAGCGAGTATTAAGTGACAGTGACTATTGTTCGGATGTTGTAAATTCGCAAACAATCGTAAATGCACCGAGTTCTGTTTGGAGCACACCAGACCTCTCAAAAATTAAAAATATAATTTACAATGAAAACAATGATGATGTAGGAATTAATCCGGATATTATCGAGACCCTACAGTATGCAGAGCCATATGAATTTTTTGCCTTATTCATTGACAAAGATGTTATTTCCTTAATTGTTCAAGAAACGAATCGTTATGCTCTCCAACGAAAAACTTCTCCCAGTGTTAAGAGGAATTCTCGGGTGCAGCGTTGGGCTCCCGTCAGCAGTGAAGAAATACATACATTTTTAGGATTGGTGTTATGGATGGGCCTTTACCAAATGCCTTCAATTCCTGACTATTGGAAAAAAGATAACCCTTTACTCAGCAGCAAGGTAGGCGAATACATGTCTAGAAATCGTTTCGAGCTCATACTTAGTATGCTACACTTTGCCGATAATTCTAAAGCACCTCGAGGTGACAGACTTCACAAGGTTCAAAACATAGTTAATATGATTGTAGCAAACTTTAATATGGCAGTCTGTCCAACCCAGTCTGTATGCATTGACGAATCTATGATTCCATGTTTGGGCAGACTCTCTTTCCGTCAGTATATTCAAAATAAACGGCATCGCTACGGAATTAAAATATTTAAACTTTGCTCCGAATCATTTTATACCCTACAGTTTAAAATATACTGCGGAAAGGAGAGAGTAAACGATATGCCGGTATCAGAGAAAGTGGTTATAGAGCTAATGAAACCTTATTTAAATTTTGGCGTACCCTATATACCGATAGTTGGTACACAGGAGTGCCTCTTGCAAAAAAGCTGCTTGAAAGCTTCACTCATTTGGTCGGGACATTGCGAGCGAACAGAAAGCATATACCATCTAAAGTTGTAAAACAAAAGTTGAAAAAACAGGAGATTATTGCTCGTCAAAATGATAAATTTAAATCATAAATTTTAGTATAGACTGTTTTTGTGCTATTCAGTTGTTTCTTATAATTCATTTGAGTCACAATGGCTAATATGGTGAAGGCATCATTTTCCCTCTTCAGAAAGAAACGGTCTTGTAAATATCCTTCATGTAAAAATTCATATTATACTAATAGTCCAAAAGATTTCCAAAAGATCCAGATACACTCTCACTCTGGAAAAGTGTTTGTAGGTTAGATAACCATTTAAAACCAGAAAATCAGTTTATTTACGAAGACCATTTTTATGATTTCGATTATAGCAGTCCTGATAACATACGATTAAAAAATTATTGCTGTCCAAAACCTTATCCTAGGACATCTATCATGACATCCCAAGCATCCGATAATTCCATATCCGGTAATACATCTTCAATTATTCCTGCTAACGCTGAATCTACTGAAATTAATGCTGTTTGCCATTCGGATAGTGTAGATTTGAGCGGTATATCGGATAATGTTGAAACAACAGTTGTTTTAAAAGAAACCTTAGACCCGCGTGATAATGTTAAAATTCATCGTAACATGCAATCGAAATTGTCAATGTTAAAATCACAGCTAAAAAGCGCCAAAGCTGACGTGAGCTTTGTTAGGAAACTATATGGGCCGATTTGACTTCATCGAATCTATTTTGAATTCTGTAAAAAAGGAATTTATTAATTCTCAGTTACGCAATTCTAGTAGAGCTCAGTCAGGTAAAAGGTGGACTATGGAAGATAAAGCATTTGGTTTATCTATCTACAAAAAAAGACACGATTATATTGTTACCTACAAGCCCATTTTGAATTACCATCAATAAGACTTTTCAGAGGCCTGTCGTCCAACATGTCTTTTCGTACCGGTTTAAATCCAAATGTTATGGATTATCTTAAACATCAGGTTAGGAACAAGAATGATGTTGACAAGTATTGCACCCTCATTTTCGACAGAGTTCAACTTATTGTTAGTAGTGGGCTTCATTATGAGGTTCATGAACAAAGAATTTCGAGATTCGAAGATTTGGGAGACTCGGAACCAATAACAAAACTTGGGTGAACTTTGTGGTAACAACGATTGTGTTTGAAGTAAATGGAGAAAAAATATATGGGTTCGATATCCAAAAAATGGTGAAGAGTTTCGGTGCGCGTTATCAAAAGATTCCCTCACATTTAAAGTTTCGTTCCAATTTGTTACCTAAAATCAACAAAAGGAAAATGATTGATCGGAACGGTAGGGATTGTACAAAGTCCGTTAGATTTCTTAAAGGTTGGCAGACTACCATACGATCAGTTATTGTTCTTTGGAATCATTTAAGTACCCTTAAGTAGGGGACGGAATTGTCAAGACGACTATTGTGAGTCTTTGCAAATCTTTCTACAAGATTTGTTAGTACATTTTCCAGAGGATCTTCATTCTAGTGATAAAATGGTTCAAATCCTATTTTCTCAGATATCGAACTAAACCCAAGTATACAAAATAATCAAGCAACGGCGTATATGGCTGGTTGTTTTCTGAAGACTATACATATTCCGGACTGTGATACGTGTCGAGAAAATTTATATTCTGCAGAATGTAACGGAATCATTTGTTTACTTCTTTCAAGGAGTGTAACAATGAGACACATTTAAATTATGCAAGTGACGGCTTATTAAGATGGTTGATGCAGTCTATGAAAGAATATATCAATTTCTTGATAAGTATGGTCACTTAAGCCCAATTGAGAGCACATTCAAAAATTCGGCATAATTAAAGGACCATCAATATCCTTAAAAATCGACGATTGCTTTTACCGACATGAAATTGCCTAAAGTTTCGCTGCGCTATCATCAGCCATGCTAACTACATATCTCCGCAGCACCAACGGTATTACCAACCGTTTCCTTCTTTTTACAGCCAATCATATAACATTAATCTGATAAAATTGTAAATCAAATAATTTTCACCAAATTTATAAGAGAATTAACAGTTTATTACAACGCCTATTTTCGGTTGTAATATGTTAAACTTCCTATCCTTTCACGGTTAAACGTTTACGATTACGTCCAGGAATCACCATTATTTCGGATTAGTGGTCGTATGACTTTTTGGAATGTACACTTAAAGGTTTACCATTCTATACATTTTGTAGACCCACAAACTGACGCGCATACCAAAGCAATCGAATCGACGTGGCGACATGCTAAGGATAGCATGTCCTCCTCTGGTCAGACAAAGGCCAAGATGCCACGTAATCTTGTGAGATACATGTTTCATAAACCATGTGCAGGAAAACAGGTTGATAAGGCCAGGGAATTTTATAGAATAGCTGTCTTAATGTACGACCTCACCAAGCCAGCAGAACAACGTGATCCGGAGGAAGTCGGTGATGACTATTCGTCGGACAATGACGATCATTAAATTAATCAACATTTGGCAATTTGAAATATTCAGATTTGAATTGGACAAATTTTGTTTTGAAGGTATTGTGAGAATTTTAACATTCTCTTAGTTCAGCGAGAGAACATAACCTAGAATTTGTGACAGAGAGATTTTTTGTTGGTGAAAATCTTATCTTAAACCGTTTTGTTTACTTCCAAAAGTATCAATTATTATAGTTCAGCTCCTAAAGCACATTTTTCATCCATCTTTTGAGGTTTTAACGTTATTTTGAGGAAGAAATACTTGATTTAAATTTGAATTTTTCTAACTTTACTCATTGTTGAAATTTGGCGTGTACTCCAATGTATGTCTAAAAACAAGAAAAGACAACGTTGAATACGAAGTTTTATTACGTTTCGTAAAGGAATAAGGGAAAAATCAACGAAAAAAGAATTAAATTTTTAAGGTCAAAGAAAAATCAAGAGATGACGCTAGTTTCGAAGCAAGAATTTTGAATTTTGAAAAGGGCGCGAAGCTAAGAGCTAATCAGAAACGAGGAAAAAACAGTTGGAGTGCCGGGGTATATAAGGAGATCGCGAACAGGGAGTGAGAGAGTCGTCGTCGGATCAGCGTCGAATCCACGTCGTCAGATAGAAGAAATTTTGAATCTCAAGAGATAACCTCAAAAATTTAAGATAATTTTTTTTAAGTCAAATCAACTTACGATATTAAAATAAAAAGAGAATCATCCTACAACCTATTCCGAGAACTACTGATATTTCTTCGAGATCATCCAAGACCCTATTTCTGAAGAACAAACAGTTCAATTTCCCGTAAGAAGAATCCTGTAGACAATCCAGAAAATTAGTTAGTGCCCCGAACACAAGAGACAATCCATAATCCAGATACCACATTGAACTCCAATCCTTTCTTTTTCACAGTGAGTCGGATGATAATTTTATTTTATTATTTAACATAACCTACAAAAAGAAAAATCAAAGAATCAAACTCAAAGAACAACTCACAAGAGTTTCCTATAATTTTGATCAATACTTACTTGTGGGTAAAGATTTATTAGTTTTCTTGAATAACGTTCATTTATTTAATTCTATTTTTCTTCAACGAGTGTGATGACAACTTAAGACGTCGGCCATTTGTTATTTTCAAATAATAAACGGGTTCTCTCTAATATCGATATTTCGAACCTGATTAATTTTCTTTTGAACCTGAACTTGCCCGAAACCCTGTGTTTTTAATAAGAGTCTCTTAAAATTAAAGAAACCCAAATTTATAGTTTAATAACTTGTGTAAAAACACCACAGTATATACTAAATTTTGGGTTGCGTCTCTGTTCACTTCCTCGTAGTGCAACCTGGGTAACGCGATGAACAGAGAAACCGATTTATAGTTACCAATCGGAATCTTTCATTTTCTTTGTTTCCTTTATTCATATTATCCGAAGTAAAATGATGAGTTTAAGAATTTTCATTACTAGTTTAATAACGTTTGCATCCTTGTTTGTTTCACGAATGGATTTGTCTAGAGATATTATGTCATTGATTTTGTATCGACACGACGTTTATATTAGGTTATGTTTGATATAACGCGGTTCATTTCTAATTTTGTTTTAATGGTGTTTATAATTGTTCATTAATGTTTCACTTTCGATAAATTGACGTAAGTAATTATTTAAATGTGTTATACATGTTATTGAAAACAACAAACAAAGAAACGGATGCATGGAAAAAAATCTCTACTGAGATGAAATGTGATGTAATTGAAGTAAAGAAAAAGACTTCTTGCATCATTTAGACGAGAAAGACAAAGAAAAGGTACTTCAAAAAAATGGCAGGCAGTGGAACTGGCTAAACTTTTTAATGGCTAAATTTCAACCTAGGGAGACTCAAGATACTAATGAGGTAAGCAAGTCACGGGAATTACTAAAAATAGTGAAAATCAGATTTATTTTGCAACAATTCTTCCGGATTTTTCGGCATCTGAAACAAATAATAACTTTGGCAATTTTGGCGATGTTTTTACGATTGTTTTAGAATGAAACAAACGAAACTGAAGACATTTCCATAACCAATCAAGAATCTGACGCTACATACACCGAAAGAGAAGACTATGAAACCAATACGAATGCCAACATTACGAAAACTCCCAAACAAAAATCGATGAGGCATACGAAATATTAAAACAATCTATGTCCAAAAAGCCTGCCAAAAACAACAATGATATATTTGGGCAGTATGTAGCAAGCAAACTGAACAGCTATTCAGATCGGTGTTCGAAATTAGTACAACATTTAATAAACAACATAATTTTTGATGCGGATATGGGAAAATATGATGCACCTGTAAGTTCTTCAAATCTACAGTTTCAGACAGTATTCAGTAGTACTCCCAGTCCCAATATATCAAGTCCCAATTCTCACAATTCCTTACAGTCGTCAACATGTGCAAGTATTCCTCAAGCTTCATCCGTTTTAGAACAACTTTTATCTTATAATACCGAAATTCTATCATCACCACCAGCAGTTATACAAGTAGAACCTCATTCAGGAACATATTTACAGTTTAGACTTTCAAACTCAGGAAATACAGAAAATACTGCAAAAGACACCGAAGAAAATGAATATTCTACTACTGGTAAAATAGGTAATTTTTTCCAACTTTAAAGCGTTATTGATATTTAGAGGCATACGTAAACATCAATAAACATTACATATACAGCCTGATTCAGAGTAAGTGCCTTATTTTTTTTTTAGCCACACTATGTGTACCACTTTCAAAATATATGGCAGTAATATGTTTTAAAAAATTCTCTACACGATGGTGACATTATATTTTCAATTGGACGAATTATTACAAAATGGCGACTATCAACTTTTTTTTTAAATGGTATGCCAAAAATTTTTTTTTATTATTGAAATCCTTAAAACATTCTTTTTACGATAGTATTTCGTTTTTCTTAAAAATTCATTTCTGTTCCCATCAAAAAGCTAACTAACATTTTAATCTAGTAGTAGCGCATGAATATTTTACACAGATGTTATTTTTGTCCAAATATCAATTAGCCGTAGACACAAAAGAAACAATTCAACTTTAATCTAGTAGTTAAACGTCAATCAATGCAATTTAGTTGTCAGTGCTTGTTAATAACAATTTTATTGTACTAATTATTGAAGATTACAATTGTTAATTTAAAATTAATTGATACGTTTTCAAAATGCCGTTAAGTTATACGAGAATCGAGTTAATTGATATGCTCCTAATATTTGGAAAAGCAGATGAAGATCCTTATGAAGCAGCCAGATTGTACAGAAATAAATATTCAAACAGAAGACACCCTGAACATCGAACATTTACTAAATTATTGGAGAGAACGCGTGAAACGGGAACTGTGGATTATAAGAAACCTGTACATGCAAACCCACCTGCTTGCAATGCCGACAACGAAAACCAGGTAATGCAACACATTATTGAAAATCCCCATGTCAGTACTAGGGAGATTGCAGATTTGGTTGGAATATCGCAGATTCGGTCTGGAGGACTATAAAAAAAAATAAATATCACCCATTCAAAAAATGATTGTTCATCAAGAATTAACCGAAAATGATTCTGCAGAACTTTGTTTGCAGAATTTTGCAGACTTCTGCAATTACTGCGTCCGCCCTCTTTGGTATAAAAATTAATTCCGTTATAGATTACTATTATGTTTAGAAACGGTTTACAGATACGTACTGGTCTACCCAATGGGGTGGACACTTCATGTGTGCTTATTTGTCTATGACGTTTGGTCATGCTTAACCTAAAAACTTAACCTATAAAGTGTACATAAGTAGCAATAAGTAGATTGGTGAAATTTGAAACTGTGCTTCATCCTGTGTAAAAAAATGAGCAAAAGGGTTGGGCGTGTAAAGATTCCTGATGAACCTAACGCGAAGAAACGGTTGACAGATAAAGAAGTTGACGGGTATTGGGAAGATGATGAGATAAGTGAAGCGGAAATATTTCAGGACTGTTGTAGCGAATATGTACAAAGTGAATCTAGCGAATCTGAAAGTACCTCAGATGCAGGAGACGATATCGATACAGAAGAGGAAGAGGAGCAGGCACAGGCAAATGAACACACTTTGCCTACGAACGAAGATATAGTTGACGATTGGAAAACATGCACGTTAAATGCGAGGAATACTCCCTTTTACTGGTTGTGAAAAAATTGAAGTTCCATTCAATACTTTAAATGCGCTTCCTATAGATTATTATAATCTTTTCATATCAAATGATGTGATAGAGTTGATGGTAAATGAAACAAATAAGAATGCTGCGAAGTATTTGTCTTTAAAGCAGATTAAAAGGAGCAGTCGCATGAAAGATTGGAAAGATACCACTTGCTCTGAAATGAGAACATTTTTAGGTATACGTTTGTGGATGGGTTGTGTTAAGATGCCTTCTCTTGAATTGTACTGGAGCGATGTTAAATTATTCAAAAATGAAATATCTTCATTTATGACTAGAAATAGGTTTCAACTAATTTTAAGATTCTGGCACTTTGGAGAAGAAGTTGAGGGTGACAGACTGTGCAAAATAAAACCGCTAGTTGACTTAATTGAAAAGAAATTTCAACAGGTTAAATCTGGGGAAAACTTAGTAATAGACGAATCAATGGTGCCTTTTCGCGGTAGGCTCAATTTTAGACAGTATCTTCCTGGAAAAAGTCACAAGTATGGTATAAAAGTCACAAGTATGGTATAAAAGTCACAAGTATAGTATAAAAGTCACAAGTATGGTATAAAAGTCACAAGTATGGTATAAAAGTCTTTAAGCTTTGTGATCAAACAGGGTATACATACAAAACACAAATCTATGCAGGCAAAAGAAATGAAAATTTAGATATTGGAACTGCCAGTGTTGCTACAAATGTAGTAATGTCCTTGTTAAACTCTTACTTAGACTCCGGAAGGACAATATGCACTGATAATTTCTACACAAGTATACCGCTAATACACACACTATTGCACAGAAAAACATCGTTCGTGGGTACCTTTCGGAAAAATAGAAAGCATTTTCCTAAAGAAGTAGTTTCTGCGAAACTAAAACGTAGTGAAATAAAAGAATTACAAAATTCTAAAGGAATAATCGCCATGAAGTGGAAAGACAAGAGAGAGGTGTATGCTGTGTCTTCAAGATTTTCAGCAAAACCATTACCCACAGGAAAGAAAAATCGTGAAGAAATTGTTAAACCGGAAATGATTATACAGTATAATACGATGAAAGGTGGAATAGATATTTCTGATCAACTTTCGTCATATCACTCCGCAATAAGAAAATCCATACGATGGTATCATAAAGTTGCTGATGATGTTATATTTGGTACTGCAGTAGTTGATGCCTATCTCAACTACGCAAAAGAAAACCTAAAAGCAAACCTTCTAAAGTTTCGTATAAAATTAATTTATTCGTTACTAAATGTTCCAGTACAAGAGGAAAGGGTCCGCACACCAAGATTAGCTAAACTCACAAACCATTATTTAGAAAAGTCGAAAGTCTGTTCTGGAAGTAAACAGAAACGGTATATAAAACAAATGTAATTACTAGTCATTATCAAATGATTTATTTCCAAATATCAGCTTTTCAAAGCTGATTTTTGGAAATAAATCCATTGTTAAAGTGCAAAAACTACTTTTATTAATATCCACAATGGAAAGAAAGTATAAAGAAATTCAATATTATCAAATGATTTTAGGTTGCTCCGACGTAATTGCAAGTACTGTTATGAAAAAATTGCAGCGAGATTTGGAAGAAAGGAAGCGAAAAGCAAAGCAAAAAAGGTCACCACGTTTTGCAAATCATGTGACGATAAACCGTTTTTATGTATAGACTGCTTCGAAACGGCGCACTCTTCTATAAATAAACAAAATAACTAAAATTCGTTGTTCAAAAAATGTAAAATATGTGTTTAATAAATATTTTTCTTTACTACTTCGTTGTCCACCCAAATGGGTAGACAGCACCCCTCTCCAGAATAAAAATGAAACTGTCCACCCCTTTGGACTGACAAGTTTATTTATCTTAAATAGTTCTCCTGACTAAGCACTATCCGTGCATGTTATC